TGCCTCAAGAAAAACCCCTCGACCACTGCATTCCAAAATCTCCCAAGAAATCGCGGGTCCCTGTAATAACTTTTTGTAACATCCCTCTATCATCTCTCTATCATCAAGTTAAAATGGTCGCTAATTTTCTGTCGTTCTCAACAAACAGACCCGCGCGAAGTAGCTCAAGGGAAAAACCATATTTCTCTCAGCTAAACGGTCTATAGATACATAATTTGGAAGCTGATAAATTTTGGCCTAGTATTTTGTCGGTTCCAATACGTGATTATTATACTAATTTCGCGTCTATCGAATCAAACCGCAGATGGTTTATATAAACATTTCATGGCTGGCAGAGCTCGTAAATTTCTTTGAGGGGCAGAATTTGGCACTTACATCTCTGAATTAAAATGAATCTTCCCATTCTCGAAAAAATAAAAACTAGAATACTTAGTATTTGCTAGGTATTACAACGCGTAGAGCGCAGTGGTGTCATCCGCTGCTATTTTGAAGATATCTGATCAACTGAATATTACATCGGTTACTCCCCACTTTTTACTTTTGAGAAGGAGTCAATGATATACTTTACGTGTTTTGTATGTGAGCTGCAAGGAAAGTACTTAATGATATAATCATCCAATTGGTAATTTTTATCGTGAAGGAGGGAAAGGAAGGAAAGTAGAAACTGCATCAACCAACTCACTTTTACTTCGTAAAAAAGGAGTTGAGGAAAGGAAGGAATGTTGGTTGGGTTGCCACGTCGTCAACTTCCTTCTTGAGCCGCTCCTGGAGAACCTCTGCGCGGTCGTTCTTTTCGTCTACCTCCAAGCGGCACCTATTTGTTGAATCTTTCTCGAAGCTGTACAGGAGTACAATTTCCGACAATTTCCCGACCTTTCTTCCGGAAGATGATCTCCAACTCTGCCAGTTCAGTTAGCAAATGCCTTTTCTGATCGATTATCTGCGCCCTTCGAACTTCCCTTCGTCGCTCACGTGTGGCAATATTCGCCAATCTCTCATTGCTTCCCTGAATTTTCAGCAGCTTTGCTTTTCTCTCTCGGCAAACTCTAGCGAGTTCGTAGAACTCTTCTACTAGACCAGAGATTCTCTATGACATCGCCAGCGCTACCTCGCTGCCAAAAGTTTGGAAAGAAGTTGCTACCTAGACATTCGACGCAGGCATCGATGGTGGTAGTGATGGTGGTAGTACCGGCTTGTGGCTGGCCAAGCAGCTAGCAGCGGTCTCCGAAGATACCGTGGAGGCTGGCTCAAAGTCTGATGCATCAGTTACCATCTGCGGCGCAGTCGGTGGCTGCTTTTTCGGCTTGGTCGGGGTGTTACCGTTTTGCTGGCACTCTTCAGTCCCTTCTTCGCACTAACACAACTTCCTCAGGAAAGAGGCTGAGCATAGGGCCAACTTATCATACAAAAGCTACTGCTCGTCCCAACTACCTTCCTTCTACCACCCCTACTTTAGCTGATACAAGGACTAAATGCTGGGTCTGGAAACACTTCAACATAGCAAATTATACGGATAGATTGATATTATCTGATTTGAAAGGGTTATATTTTTAGGAGTGATTAATTTTTTGGGAAAGAAAGTTTTTGGCTTTCTACTACTCCATCTGATACAAAAAAATGAATGAGAGAATCTTCCAAAGAAAGGAAGGATTAATCAATTTGAAAATAAGTAACTCTATACATGGATGTGTAGATCATGCAAAGAAGTAACTTTCAGACACAAACTGAAAGAAAGTCCTCCTGAAACAGCTACTTTCATATAAATATTGAATTACACGAAAGAAAAAATTCTTTCGAAACAAATACTTCTATATGAACACTGAATTATACAGAAGATACTTTTATCTATTCAGTTTGTATATCGAACATTCGTGGAGGAATAAGAATCAGATATTATTCACATGAGTTCTACTTTGAATGAATGGTAATAAATTGTACTCACATGGAACACTGTCACCCTAACTGGTATACACGTGTTTCGCCTTAAGACACTTGCCCTAAGGCTCTTCAGTACCAAATTGGATAACATTATAGAAAATATCAGATGGAGTAGTAGAAAGCCAAAAACTTTCTTTCCCAAAAAATTGATATTATCGTTTTCACAATCATGCAATATGGTTTATACCCTTTGGAATAAAACAAGATGTATTATTGATATATTTTATTTCATAATCCATAATAACATCCATATTCACAGTAAGAGTATGTACGGTTTTGAGGATATCGATAAGGAATTCATCTCAAGGCTGGCTTGATAGAACTCAACATCCTCATTCCACCATGGTAATGTTTTTGTGGTATCGGGGATGATGCTTATCATTTCAATATGTCACAACTCGATTCTACTATTTTCCAATAATCACCAAGTGCATTTGATTTTGTATCATTGAATCTTTTATTTCTATTGCCTGTAAAAAATTAAAAAGATTAGCAGAAAAATAACAATTATATTAAGCAAAATAAACTGAAATAAAATACAAGCAACAACCAAAAAAACTGAAAAGTTGAAGCTGAAAATTAAAAAATATTATTAACAAAAAATGAAAAATAAAAATGAAAACAGTGTTAGTTTCCGGTTACCTTAAACTCAACCCCGGTATTTCAAGTTTGAAAATAAAATGATCTGTTTTCGATTAAAATCAGAGCCCTTTCGTTCTTAACTTTCAAAAGGGATATAATATATTACATATTACATAATATAGTATATTACATAAAAATAATATTACAAAAAAAATCATGCGAAAAATTGATTACTGCGACCGAATAGAAGAGTTTAGGTACGAACGACTATGTTTTAGTGAATACGTATTCAATCATGCCGTCTTCTCAGTTTACCGAACTCAGGAATCGAAGAATTTGCCCTCTCGTAACTGTTTGCATATTATGTGAGTAAACCAAAAAAACGTCCATTAAACGCGTAAAAAGTCCAAAGTACGATTTTATGCACCTATATTCGTCCTCAAACTGATTTTCTAGGAACAAGTGTGAGCCATCATTAAGAATGAACCCAGTCTTTGGTGAAAGATTACGATATAATATTATCGTTTTAACTCTGATGTTTACCCTGATTATTAATTAAGATGAATCAGGTACGTTTAGCTTCCGTAATGAAATCGTATCGTGTCGATATATGTAATGAATATCTGTATTGAATATTCTTATCTCTTTTGTAACTATGTATGAGCTATTATTCTATTGTTTATGTATTTTAGTTATAAGTTGCCGTTCCCCCTGTTAGTTCTGTACTTTGATATGTACAAGCAGCGCCCTATCCAGCTATTTCGTCGGTCCGGTCAAAATAATATTTGTCACCTTTTACCCATGCATTATTCCATAAATGGTGTTATTTTAACCTATAAAAAAAATTCCCTGCCGATATTAATGAAAGAAAATAAGTTTCGTTTTAAGATATTTATTGAAATCCAGTATCCAGCGCAGCTTGAAGGACGCAGTGTGACCACATTTTATTTTTGTAATCTACTAAAATATGATGTAAAATTTCAGTGATGTCAATAGTAATATACTATATTCTAACAACTTTTGTGTAGGGTGTGGTTTTTTTTTGTATAACCATCTTTCAAATTTTCGCCGCCGACGCCGCGCCTCCCTCAATTTTGCCGCCCTCAATTGCCCAGTTTGCCCCCCCTAGATCGGGCGCTTTAGTACAAGTTTGCCACTCTTGTTATAAGCATACTTTCTTTCAGCAATCTGAATACGACTGGTAGACACCAATGATATATTTATGAATGTATACCTTTTGACAAGGAGAGACCGTAAAAGATCTATAAAATAATATCAGAGAAGATCACCAAATTCATATGCTGCGTTTATAGACCACCTAGCAATACACAATATAGGGTACTATTCTCTCCACTTGCAAACAACATTGACTTTCGCCAAATCAATCATCCCAGTGTCGAAATTTCCATATTCGGTAACTTCAATGTCCACAATATCAAATGGCTCAAATTTTCAAATATCAACAACGAACAAGGTCGCGAAGCTGAGGCTTTTGCAATAAGAAGCGGACTTACTCAGATTGTAAATTAGCCAACCAGGATTCCTGACCGTGATGGAGAATATGCTAGTCTTCTGGATATATACCTAACACCAATCCAGAAACTTACACAGTGACCGTGAGTCCTCCATTAGGATCCCCTGACCACAAACTCATTTCAGTGTTGAGTGAATTACCGATGAATTTTGAGAAACGATCTAAGCCTCGCAAAGTTTGCCATTACAGATCAGCTGAATGGGAGGATCTTATTTATTTATTTATTTTACACTAATAGGGATACAAACAGAATAAATACAAAAAATATCCTCATTTTACATATGAAAGATACTGAGTAAATAAAATATAAATGCTAAGTACATTACACTATATAATAATGAATATTAACAAAAAATAAATAAACAATATATGAAGAACCGATAACTAATTACAAATAAAAAAAGATTTCACATACTTTTTAAATTTAAGGAAAGGTAACCTCAGTTTTTCAATATCACTGCAATGAGTATTGAAGGATCTGACAATTCTGCATAAAGGAGAGTTTTTTCCTGAATTAGTTTTTCAAAATGCGGTTGCAAAGAAATCATGGTTTCGCAAGTCTCTGCAAGGTGTATTCAATGAATACACCTTGCAGAGATGTTAGCAACGTAGGAAAATCGACACGTTTATTGAATAATTTGTACAGCATTAACATATCTGACATTTTCCTCCTATCTGTAAGAGATAACAACGAATACTTTTTGAAAATTGAACGGAACTTTCCATTGATTATAGAAATGTCAATTTTAGGGGCCAATTGTTCGACAAATTTATTTTGAACACTTTCAATTCTCTGTTGGTAAATCGAATATTGTGGACTCCAAACGACAGATGCAAAGTTCAAACGGTATTTAACAGATTTCCTGCCTGGAGAGTTATGGTAGTGAGGCCAAAAATTAAAAAAATAAAAGAAGCAGAATTCTTTTCAGAAAATCTAACCTTAATTTTTAAAAGTAGTAAATACCACAGACTACAGAACAGTATTCTGTGGTGAATACTGTAAACTGTAACAAGTGTGTAAAAAGCTGCTAAAGCTGTATCGAAGTCGATATATAAACTAAAGTTCAAATCTACATAATAGACTAGAAGTAATAGTTATGGAAAACTATAGGAAAGGAAAAAACAATGAAGAACCTTTAGAAAGGAATAAAATCCCAATTGAAAATCTTCCAGAAAATTTTTTATGGATGCAGGTATGAGGTGAAATCTTGGAGAATATCTCAATTTGAGATTTTAATTTTATAGGTACGAGGAGGCAGCAAAATCAGAAACCTTCTCACTCACGCCCTCAATGAATTTCCTAAAATAAAACATGTAGTATGGACAGGATTTGGACCATCTGTTGGAAAATGTATTACATGTGCAGAAATCATGAAACGGGAATGTAACAATTCCCTTCACCAAATAACTAGACTGTGCTATAGAAGGTTTGTTTTGGGAAAATGAGCATTATAGATATATAAATAATTTCTTTCCAGTGTCCATGAATATTGGGATCCCTTACTTCCAGAACTTGACCAATTAGTGGTTAAACGCAAGTTACCAATGATACATATATATCTGTCTGAAACGCCAATTGATACTGAGGAATTAGGGTAGGTAAAATATGTTATTATCTAATGGAAATTGCTCACGTTTTGGTTGTGCAGTGCAAGAAATTATATATAGACGATACTGCTTGATTCAGTTCTGTATAACTATCAATTGTTCTGAAAGACATAGAGAGTGGCACTTTTAATGATAGATATTTGTTGATACTGGTCACCAAATCAGATATTTAAAACATTAAAGTTATTTAAAAATGTTATGTGATACTCCATTTTAGTTTCTTCATTAAGAAGATCCAGATACCCTCACACATACACACACACCAAACTGGTATCTGATAATTAATTAGTTATAATTCGAGTTAGTCACGAATTTTACGTTAGGAGAATTATCTTGACTAGCATTTCTTATAACTTAAATCTTATTGTGACAAATGCATGAATATTTCTAGTGAAAATTATTGACTATATTTATCTTAACAGATTTGAAAATGGATTCAGACTATTTCTCAAATATAGAAATTTTCAGTCCCTTTTTTTAAGTGAATCAAAGCTGTCAAGATAATTGTAATCATTGATTCAACTTGGGCTAGTGTTACAAAAGAGTAATAAAGACATGGTTATCTTTAGGTTTGATGTTATTGTCAGTGTGCTGAGTTAGAGAATAATAATCTAATATTTTCTCAAAAACAAAACTCACTTAGAACTATTGAGTTCCAGTAACAGAAATAAAAGGGTCAAACTGTTCACTAGAGAATCTCAATCAATTTATTTTTTTCAATTTTCAGGTACCAAGCTCCAGGGGTTTACATTCCACAGAAATCAAAGAACAGCAGTTCTTTCAAGAGTATAAAACCAAATGACAAAAAATTTAAAAACTCAACTCCTAAAAGACAAGAAAGTAGACAAAACAATTCAAGCAATTTAACAGCTGGTAGCAATACTGTGAATGGAATAAATGATAGATAGAATTGAAAAATTAATAGTTTTGATTTTCTGAATTCCTTTTGCTTTTGTTTGCTAGAGTACTCTCCATTGGTGACAGATTGGTTTGATACAACAGGTTTGTTGCAGTGTTCACTCACTGGAGCAAAGAATATAAAATTGGGAATTGTGACTGATTTGGTGCACAGACCAACGATCAAGTGAGTCTAGTTTCTGTGTGCCAATTTCCACATTTGAGAAAATATTTATTGATGGTGAGTTATTCAATTCTATTTGATTATTCTGTAAATTACCCAAATTCTTAAATCTATAGATTTCTAAACATTCTTGAAGATTGAGTTTCAAACTTTTCTCTTCTAAATGTTGGAACACGTCATATTCATGGTTGATCTCATTTCCTTCTACTAAAAGGTGGTTTGCAAATGTGGAATTGGTCTTTCTATTTATAAAACTACTTCTTTGCTCTTTAATTCTTCATGTGACCATGTCATATTTGGGTGAACCGAGCAATAATATCGCCCGTTTTTCAAAAAAAGAATGCGTAGACATAGCTTACAGAACGAATAAATAGTCTAAGTGAATTTATCAAAAACAAAGACAAAATTTCGGTAATAAACAAATAGAATTGAATAACTCACCGTTAATAAATAATTTTTCAAATGTGGAAACTTGGTACAAAAGTTCGGGTAATTTAATTCATTACAAACTCAGGTACACATAAAACATATTAAATGGCCAGGAAAAACTGGGGTACTTGAATATGTAGTTGGTAGAAACACGCCCAAAGAAGCCATTGTATGGCGAAACATGTGTTGCGTTTTTGTGAATCACAATAAAGTTTTTTTAATACGTCTGATTTTTCTGTTTTTTATTACCTGTATGCGATAGTTTGACGATTCACTAAGTAAGTTGAACAATATAAATAAAATCCAAATGTAGTTGGTTCAAAGGAATCGGAAAATTTTCAAAATTTTGGAAATTTGAAAAAAGATTTGAAAAGATCAATGAATTTGCGTAAAAAAAGTTCCGACTCCCGAAACTGTATCTCGATTATTTATAGTTTTTACAGAGCCCTGAAAATAGAGCCAAAAGCGGGTAGTCTGGCTTTCGCGCGCCTCTCATCACTCCGACATAAAAACAAAAAAAAACATTTAAACATATTAAATGTAAATATTAAGGAATGAAAAAATTCATGTAATGTTGGGATACATCAATAAACAATAATCCGCAGTCAAAATATTTTTATCCCAATTTTAACCACTTCATGGTTTAATACAAATGTACTGAACCTTAATTAGGAAAAACTGTATATTTTACCTTCTCGAATTGTAAAACTGGACCGCCAAAATTACAACAGTTTATGAAAATCTTTCTTTTCGAAGAGATACTAGAACTCTTCAAAGCACTGATCACACTAATTATCAAGAAATAACGGTTTAGTCACTTGAAATGGGAAGATCTGAAGAAACCATGACCATAATCGTTATTTCCATTATTTTCTGTAATGTCAACTGCCAACCGTCAGTTGTTCCGCATGTTCTAAAAAATAAAATACCACATAATTGAAACACATTTGAAACACATATCACGGGGGTGGTTTTCCCTTCAATCCGAAAGGGAATGTAAGCCATTGTTCATTAAAATAAAACCGCTGAAACGGATAATGTACAACAAGCCATTTCCATGTTACTTGTCAGGCAAATACGTTGTTTCATTAGCAACTGTATGGCCTAAAATCACCTACATTCATACCGTGGTTGTTTATGATAAGGGGCCGGCAAACCCGCATATATACATGCAAAAGTAGCATTCATCGAGTCATCAAAGGAACAAGTCATTTCTTAGAAATATCTGTTGGATCTTTTTAACGGAACAATGGTAGGACAAATAAGAACATTTTTTATATGATAATAAACAATAAAATATACAGATGGCCAGGAAAATAATATAAAAACATAAATTGGGATTATTATCCAATAGTAGCTCACTCAAATCTTCAAATTCAACAACAACAACAACAAGTTCATTCAATATTTGATGAAAATAATAATTCATTGACTCATATAAATTGGATATAACAAAG